AGTTTGACGTACTTTTTCTGAAGTGCTTTATTTTACTATTTAACAAAAGTTGGGTGGGGAGGAGGAAAAGCAAATAAATCCCAGGGAATTTATCCAGTTGACAAAATGTTTCTTTGTCAAATAGAGTTTTCGCCCCTGGAGAGTGCTCCCTGCCCCCACAACTGCATGTAATCATTTGTTTACAAAAGTCACATAGTAGCTGCTCAATTGATACTTGTTGGCGAAATGAATCAATGAACAAATGAGGGCATAAGATTAATAGCCTGCACAAAGTAAGAGCCCTAGTGAAGAAGAGAAGCATCCCTTAAAAATCGATGGAAAGCACTGAATTAGCAAGGACTCTAAACACACAGCAATTGTTTTGAAGCCCCAGTCATTAAATACAGCACACCTGTAGAGAGGCCACCACCAGGCAGGGGGTTCTTTGTCCAAGGTCTGCTCACTCACCCGCATTCATACCTGCTTGGAGGCAGCAGTCCAAACAAACAGGAACTGCCCTTTTTTAAAGGTCATGGGAGACCAATGTGCGCAGCCAGGCAGGCGAGGCCAAAGCAAGCAGTCCCTGACTGTCCTCCCAACTCCACAATCTCCCCAAATTGAGGTGCAGTCCCTTCTCATCTGCACAAAACCAGTTGGGGAGGAGGGGCAGGTGCTGCAAATGAAACCAGACCATTCTTGGGAGGCTTACCACCTCAGCTCCTGGCCATGGCAGGGCAGCCACATGCTGTTATGGTTGCTTCAGCCAGCTGGAAATCAGCAGGGGGTTTGTAAGGAAACCACATTAATTAGGAGAAAGCAAACTTGACAGTCACTCACTCTGCCAGCCCTTTCTCCTAGTTTCTCTTGCAGCCTCCTCACACTGTGGTCTTTAACAGATCAGCTCTCTCCACCCTCCTGTGCCTTTTCACTGCCTCTGTTTATTCACGGTGAACATCTGTGTGGCTTCTTGGCTCAGACCCACTCTTCCAGGATGAGGTGGGAGGAAGGCTGGAAGAGCACATTCATCCACAGCTGAGACCAGAACTTCTTCAGCCCCAAAGCCATAGACAGACTGACCAGCCCATGGCCTCCTGACTCTTGCCTTTATTCTGGCCTGAGCCCACTGTCCTGCTGGCCGGAAGCAAGTCATTGCTTCCGGAAGACCAGATCATTTCTGCTGGGAGTTTAAGTTTTTCTTGGCAAAATTAACACTTCTCGGTCTCTTGTGACTGTTTCCCTGAACATCTTCACTAGGGCAATTTACTTGGGACTTGAGTTATCTCCAGATTTAAGAATAGGGTCCATTCAGGACAAGGATAGAGAAAAGAAGAAAAATTTCCTTGGGAAATGGGTAGAAGGAAGGAGGCTGGACCCCTTGGGAGAGGAAGTGGATAGAAGATTTTCTCTCATATATGTGTACACACTGTCATTGCTGCTTTTCATGTTCCCGGATGCTTTTGGAGTTGCAAATAGTTCTTCCCATGCATGAGAGTGACTCTGCCAACAGCCCCAGAAACTCTGGCTCTTGAAAAGACCCTTCCTTTGTGCAGCAGCTACCATTTTGGAGCCCACAAAGAAGAGCCCTTACTCCCTTTTATTCCATAGCACAGTTATATTTTTTTAAAAAATCCACAACATACCCAACTGGGGAGGGGGGTATATAAAACTCACTGATGAAATAGAAGATATTATTTTTGGAATAGAGAAATAGGTCTTAGAAAACACATTCAAATTAAGAGCAACCTAAATGCCTAGCAGTTGAGTAAGTTATGGTACTTCCAGATAATGAAATAGTATACAGCCATTAAAAATGGTGCTAAAGGACCAATGGAACCAAATAGAAATTCCAGAAAAAGATCCACACTGGATAAAATGCAATGGGGGGAAATATAATATTTTTAATAAATGGTGCTGCTTCAGTCAAATATCTCTAAAGAAAAAAGTGAATCTTAATTCCAATCACAGACCATATAATAAAACCATTCTAGATGAGTTTAGATCTAATGTGAGAGGTAAAATAATAAAGCTTATGGAAGAAAACATCGGAGAATACCTCCATGACCTTAAAGGGGAAAAAATTTTTTTAAAGGAACTAAAAATGCTAATCATAAAGGAAGAACCTGATAAATTGCACTATATTAAAATTTAAAATACTGCTTATCAAAAAATATACTACAAATGAAAAGGCAACCCACAGAGAAGGAGATGACATTTGCAACACATATATCCAACAAAGGACAAATATCCAGAATATATAAAGAACTTCTACAAATAGGTAAAAGACAGGCAACCCAATGTAAAATGGGCCAAAGAGCTGAACAGTCATTTTGCAAAAGAAGATAGCTAAATGGCTTATAAACACATGAAAAGTGACTCATCTTCATTAGCCACAGAGAATTGTAAATTAAATACACAAGAGTGTATACATACTTACCAGAATGGTCAGGATGAAAAGTGCAAAAAAATATCCAATACTGATAAGGATGTAGAGCAGCTGGAATTCTCATACACAGTCACTACCAAACTGGTACAACTATAATGGAAAAGGGTTTGGCAGTATCTACCAAAGCTGAATATATACGTACCATATAACCCATTAGTTCCACTCCTAGATATAATCCTGAGAGAAGTTTGTTCTTATAGCCACCAAAAATCATGTAGAAGAATGTTCATCACAGCAGTATTTATAGTAGTTCCGACAGGAAAGTATCCAAATCATATCAAGAAAAGAAAGGATAAATTGTAGTATATCACAGTGGAACATTATGCAGTAATGAAAATGAATGAATAACAACTTCATATAATATGGGTGAATCTCACAAACAAATGAAAGCAGACACAAAAGAGTACATGCTATGTAAGATTCTATTTCAATAGAATGTTCAAATGCCATAATTTATGGTGCTAAAAGTCAGAATAATGATAACCCTTGGGGCAAGGGTAGTATCTGGGCAAGGATACTAGAGGATGTTTTGGAGTGCTAGTAATGTTCTCTTTGTTAGTGTGGGTAGTATTTCCCTTTATGAAAATTCATCAAGCTGTACACTGATAATTTGTGTACTTTCTTATATAGGTTATTCTTTAGTTTAAAAAAAATTTTTAAAGGCTAGTCTCCTGAGCAAAATCTGGTCTCACAGAACTGTTTCTTCATGTAGAAACAAATAATAAATGGATTCAGAAAAATATTACAAAACAAAGAAATGCACAGCATTATTTCATTTTTCTAAATGTAAATAATGCTTATATCTGGATTATGGATGATATTCCTTTTTACTTGATCTATTTCATTTTTCTACAATAATCACGTTACTTGTCATTGTAAAAAATACAAGTTGTTTTTTTTTTTAAATAAAATTTGATTATGATAAGTTAGGATAAGATAATGAGAAGAGGGTTGCCAATACTTCAGATCGCTATGTGCACAAGCCTTGGGTGTGGCTCTGTTACTGCCCTGGTCCCTACTGGATTGCCAGAAATCGAGGACTTGTAAAGAAACAAGGGATGTTATACAAGCAGGAAGGACTCACGGTCATTTGTACAGAAGAAAAGTAGAAGCTATAGGGAGAGCCAAAGCTTTCCTGATCTTGGCCAGGATACCTATCCCTATACCCCACCAAAACTCTCTGCTCCACTCCTAACCATGTGTCAGTCTCACCCACCTAGGTTGACCTTCCTCTCAAGTTTCCCCTTCCCAGGATCTGCCCTTGCTGAATGCGATGTTTTCAATGCCACATTTCTCCTGCTTTCTTGTCTATGGTGATGCTGTTCAAGATCCCCATGTAGCAATTGCTCTGCATCCTCCTAGTCTATCAGGGTGGCAGTCCCAACTGGAATATGGGCTCCTTCTCCTCCCCGTCATCAGGGAACATTCCACTAATAAGTCTGATTTTTCCATCTATAAATCAGAGTAGGATAACTAGAAAATCTCCCTTCAGGTTTATTGTGGAGGGTGGAAAAGAATATCCTAACCATCGAGTGGAAGAATTGAGCTGTGAATGGCTTTCCCTTCTTATGTGGCTCCAAAGGGACATTATATTATGTCCTACAAATCCAAAGGAGGGAAAACTGAGCAATTGTCTTTTCTTTTTGGTACCATACACTTATTAAGCAAGTACATCAAACTTGTGAAAAGTACCTAGCATAAGAGCCATCTCAGTAATTGCCCTAGTAATTAGCTTATGTTTATTGAGCACTTATGTTTTATTTTATCTAATCTTTATAACAACCCTATAAAATAGGTTTTACTCACGCATTTAACAAGCATATATTGCACTCTTATTATATGTCAGGCTGTGCTAAGTGCTAGAGATATGACAGTCAACAAAAGACATCCTTGCCTTCATGGAACTTAGTCTGGTAGGGACTGTAAATGTAAAACTGTAAAACTGCAATTGTTCTAAGATGGAAAGTTATCTGGTGATGAGAACCAGTAACAGCGAGGTTTTTAAGACTCCACTGTGGAAGTGAAGTTTGAGCTGAGCTCTGAGAAATAAGTAAGACTTACTAGGTAGGCAAAAAGCAGGCAGAGGAAATAGCTGTGCAAAGGCCTTGGACAAAGGGAAGTGCTAAGAATATGAGAATGGAAGATAAGTGGCGGGGGAGAGGGGGACGGATTTTAATTCTATTCTAGTAGTTCTGCCTGATACCTGATGCTCCAGAATGAGAATTACTAAACATTGCAACTTCTCCTGTACAGGCCTAGTTCCAGCCACAAGAAGGCAAAAATCCACACCTGACTTGCAAAGAAGAAAAAGGTTTAAAGAAATAGGGGTCATGTATGTGATTTTACCGAGGAAGCCTGCCAGGGATCGAAAGATACCTTGGTGACTTCAAAGACTGGCAGACAGGAGCTAGAAAACCTATCCTAGATTCTAGGAACGAAGCACAGGCTTGACACAAAGGCCTTTTGGCTTAGCCCAAAGTTGAAGAGGTGAGGGAAAAGGAAGTGATGCGGCCAAAAGGAGCAAGAAATCCCGAAGCCGCATACTTCTTGCCCACCACTGCGGCTGCGCGTGCGTCGTTCCGGAAGCGGAAGTGCACGAAGGTCAGGGTTGGTTTTCAAGATGGCGGCCTTCAATGTGTTGGTGTCTGGTTGTGGGCGGCTGTTCCGAGGGCTCCTGGCAGGCCCGGCCATGACCAGCTGGGCTCGGCCTCCAGTTCGCGGATTCAGGGAAGGTGAGTCCCGGGTCCCGACGACCTCCCAAAGTTGAGAAGAGCGGCAGAATTTGCTTTCTCCCGCGCCCGTGCGCCCCTCCCGCGCCCGTGCGCCCCTCCCTCCCTTTCCTTCGCGCGGTTATGAAACTCCGGAGATGCTGGCGCGCCCATGGTGCTTGAAAGCCCCCTCCGGACCCTGATATTGTTATCTGACTTCCCGCTTCTCGTGAGTGTCCTCATGGGAGGGAGCAGGTGGGGAGGACAGAGAGAAAAGCCTGTTTTGTAGGCAAGAGCAGAAGAAAAGCCTGTCCCACTGTTCAAAAAAGTTTTCGATAAGGGTCTGCAATGTTAGCTCTCCCATATTCTCCAAACCGCGGCCTCCTTCATTAAAGACTCCCCGGACCATGAGGGCAGGATATTTGGATACCCTTCCCAGGGCCCCCCATTTCAGTTTCTCGTCTGAAATACTGTGATCTGATGGCAGCTTTTTCTGCCCTGGCCGCTAGTCTCCTTGAAAGGTTGAAGTTAAGGTGGAAAGGTCATTGAACAGCTGAAACAGAGGCACATGTTGAATGGTAGTTTTGCTTTCCGTTAATCGTAAGTCTGGAAAGGCAGCCTGATCCTAGCATTGAACTGAGAGCTTACTAAAGGCCAAGTGCTGTACTTCAAGCTATCATGGGATACTCGATAAAGAAAACACAGCTCTTTTCCTGAGAAGTTAAGTTCTAATGAGACGTGTTTATAGACTCCAATAAATGCAATTTAGGTATTTACGTGTCGAAGTAGAGGGAGATTTGGTTACCGGAAACAGCACACCCAATTGGAAAGTCTCATGTGGGGGGGGGGGGGGTTCCTTAAACAGACTTGTGAAAGGATGCAATCCGGCGCAGAGTGAAAAGGTCTTTCAGGACATAGCTTTCCTTTGTGTACTGCTGGAAGCAGGAAAGGATTAGTGATGTGCAAAAGAAGTGATGTGAGTGTTTTAAGATTCTGGCATGGTATTGACCAGCATTTCCTTTAACTAAAGCACAGAAGCATCCAGAGGAAAAGAGTGATCATTGTTTCAGAGGGAGCAGAAAAGTCCAAAAAGAAGAGCCCATGAAGAGGCCATTGCTTTCGTTTCTGAAGAGGTCTCTTTAGCTATCAAACAGCAATTTCAATAGAATGGCAGGCAAGGAACCCAGTTTGAGAAAGTCAAAGAGATAGTTCATGGGAATTGCAGGTATGTGTGAAGAATTTAGGTGTAAGAGGAAGATGGAACATTTACTATAAAGAACAACAAAATCCAGATACTGCCTGGTTAACATTAGATAAACTAATCCGTTAATAAAGATACCAAAGAGTTCATGCCACTAATAAAAAGAACTTGGATAAGGTGTTTTATGTATTCTCATGCTGCAAAATAAGCGTATGCCTATAACTTTTTTGAGGGTGTCTACCAAGTCTCAAACGCTAGTAGCTGCAAGTTACATATCCTTTATGCCATTCACAGTTGAAAACATTTCCTTACTATGTTCCCAGAGGATAGGCAAGAGGAATAGTTTTGTTTTGTTTATAAAGGAATATTTGAGATTTGCATTTTTGCAGTTGAAGGGTTTGTGAAATGATGGACTGTACACTCAAATGGGTCTTTGACTCCTCCTTTCCATAAATACCTGGGTTGGTTGCTCGTCTGTGTTACTCACTGTTACCTAAAAGCTAAATAACTGAATTGATGTAATCTTACATGAAGGCACTACCATATTCTGTATTCTTCTTAGGACCCGTCTCCGAAGCCTTTAAGTGAAAAAACTTTCTCTTGATATTCTACCTATTATGAGTAAGGCATAAAATATTACACATATAGCTAATTTTGACTGGTCCCAGCAGGTGTATTTGACACTCAAATAATATTGTACACATAGGATTTAAAGTTGTAGAGAGGAAGCCGGATGTCTTACTGAAATTATTCAAGCATCCTACTTTTCAAAGTATCTAATAGTGCTACTTAATTTTAGTCAGTTCATAAACATTCAGCACCAGTGCTTCTGCCTGTAAATTCTCATTCTAAAGCAGTGGTTCTCAGTTGAGGGGCAGATTTTTACCCCAGGGAACATTTGGCAATGTTTAGAGACATTTTTGGTTGTCACAACTGGTACTCCTTGCATCTGATGGGTAGAGTCCAGGGATACTGCTAAATCCATTACAGTGCACAGGACAGCCTCCCACAATAAAGAACACCTGGCTCAAAATGTCAGTCATACTGCTGTTGAGAAAGCCTTGTTTAAAGTTTGACAAGAGGGACACAAAGCCAAAAAAATATTATTAAGGAAGAAGCAAGACTAAAGGAAGACAAAAATGGAAATTGTGGTTTAATAAGTGCCTGCCGTAAGCACTGTGCTAGGTTTTCCACATACATTCATTCATTCCATTTTCTCAATGATTCTTAAAGGTGGATATTACTGACATTTTTACAAATGAGGAAAACTGGTTCAGAGGGGTTCAGTAGCTGCCCCAAATCACACAGCTTGTAAGCAGTGGAGTTGGAAGTAGAGCCATGCTCTTCCTTCTCCATCTGTAACATCACCTTGGTACTCCATGGCAGAGCTTCCCTGTGATTTCCTCCCTTCCCCAAAAGCCCTTGTCAGTTAACTTGCTGAAGACCATTTAGTGCTTACAGTTCACACTGCCAGACTTAGCAGAGATTAAATTAGAATTATGAAGGAAATGTATTTAAAACAAGCAAAATAAACCCATATGATTATCTGAATTTACAGTAATGCTCTATTAGACATTTAGATCAGTGTATTGAAATGAGTAAAGGCTGAAGGGAATTTTCTTCATCTTTTCCATTTAGCTAAGGGGGCTTTCTGGAGAACCTAGCAGTTTAGACAAAGATGTGTCTGGCAGGATGGGCAGCCCTATAGCTAAAGCTTTGAGAGAGCAATGAGCGAGTTGCGGAATTTAAAAAATTGAGAGTATCCTGATGGTGGAAATAGATTTTTGTTCGGCAACAAGACTCTTCATTCTGAAGCATAGTGCAAAGGGACATTTTCTTTGATCCAAAAGAAAAGAAGAGGCGGTAATGAGAGAAAACTCATATTGAACTTTATTGTAGTAGTAGAATTAAAGATGAACAGAAAGGAGCATTGTTTGAGCGAGGAAGGAGTTTGAGAAAAATAATTAATGGCCGGAAGTGCAGGCACACATCCCGATCATGCACTCCACTCCCTGACCCAACATAAGACTGCTAGTGCTGCCTCTTAGCCATCCTGCCATTCATTTACTCCATTCTTTCACTCCATTCCTTCATGTTCTGTTTGCGATTTGGTTTTCATGGATCCATTCCAAGAAAGACTTTAGTCTCTGGGCACTTCCTGCAGCAGCACCCTCCACTCCATATCATTCATCTTTCCACACTTCCTCCTTTACTAAACAGTTGGGTCTTTATACTGCTGCAGTTCACTATGTCTCTGTTTATGTGGCCATCAAGGTCTTTCTCCGTTCACTGCAGTCTCACCGCAATGCTGTTTGCTCTAGACTGTTATAATTCAGTTATGTTGGACTTCATCCTAGGCGAGCGAGTATTTACTGAAGCACTCAAAGGACCTCTTTACGAGGCATGGACTTTATTACAGTGAAGTTCCCATACTTGGTTTAGTTCTTTTTTCTCCCTTAGGGCAAAGACTCTGTCTTCTTCTTCTGTTGTAACTCTCCACAATAGGTGGAGTTGGGCTGTACAATCCTTGGTTGCTCAGCCAATATATTGCCTCCTGTGAAACAGATTATTTGATTTGTATGAAAAGTGCCCTTCGAAGATTTTGGCTCTTAATTCTAGTTTAGAAAACTGCTTCATTTCTTTCCTGAGTTTACTTGATATAGGCATGTCTGAGAAAACAAGGGTGATTCCGTCTTTTTCTAAACACGTTTTCTGTTAGTGCCTAAATATTTTAGTCTAGCTTTCTTAGCCACCCCCACTTCTCTTGAATGGAGAGGCAGCCAGAGACAAAATGGATCTCAGGTTTTGTTTACTTTTGACATGTTTTTGTATGCACACTGAAAATCAATACTGTTTTGATTCCTATCTCCTGTTTTCAGAGACTTAAAATCTACCAGGGCCTTTTCATGCTCCAGCCAGGCCTTCTGCCCCAGCACTGAAACACGGCCCTGATCAATCTCAATCTCCTGTGAATTCTCAGGTCATTATTCCTGGTTTGACAAATTGTCTCTATTAGATAAGCATCTGCCTAATGTTTTACCCACTGGCTTATAGTAAGATGATTCACTGGCTCAGAGTTGCTGTGTGGGGAGCTTGTGAACAGTGGAGCTTGCCACGAGCTTTGATCTCTTTTCCAGGGGCCAGTGGGATGACTTCAGGGTTTGGTTCTTTGCCGGGAGTGATGTGTGTTTTGTTAGACTTGTTTACCTCATGGTTAGGACCCAAGTGCCTCCACAGAGAAGGGAACCACATGTTTATCAGCTTTGTGTTTCAGGGCATTGTTCTCGTGCTGACTCAAGTAGGACCATCTCCTTCTGTTTCCTAACTTTTGTTTCTTATAGGGACTCTTAAAAACTTTCCCCCTACCAGTTGTTGCTCAGATTTGGTCACCGTCTGTCCAAACTTGAAAAATTTCTAGGGTTCCTGGAACCCCTACTGGGCTGGGGCTGTGTCCTCCTTCTGCCTCCCCACATTTGTAGGTTGACACATTGCAGTGACAGTCCCCCTGCAGCTGTGCCGGCTTCCAGACTGAGCACCAGGTTGAGCCTTACCCACATCCCGTTTAGGCTCCTCTGTGTTCTGAACAAGTAGATCCCTGTGTGGAGTGACGCATTTTCTTTTACAGGGAGAAACCTAGTTTGCCTTTGAATTGATTAGTAACTACAGTGTTCTCTGGAGAAAGCCTCAGGGCCTTTCTGGCCATTGTTACTCCTTTGTGTCTCTGGAGTTGAACATGGAAGGGCTCTCAGGTTGGTTGTTTAGAAGTAATGAGTCTTTGTGAATGGCCTTGCCCAGAAAACAAACTGGTAACAATTCCAGGCAGTCTGTGTCCAATTAGGTGTCAGTCACAGAGCTCAGTGATCACAGATGCTGCTGTAGGAATCTGGTTGGGTTACAATTGCTTCATTTTTTTTTCCTTAGACATTCTCCTCCTCTTTTTATTGTTGGTTTTTTGTTTTGTTTTGTTTTGTTTTTTATTGCAAAAGTAGTACACGTTTATTTTAGAAACTTTAGAAAATATAGATAGGCATAAACAAGAAACTAAAATCACCTACTTCAACCATTGAGAAAAACAGTATCACCATTTGGGTATATAGCTTCAGGGGTCTGAGAGCCACCTAAAATTCACTTCTAATTGTATGTATGTTTATGGACATGTTTCTAGGGAGAAGGCTATAACTTTCACTAGATTCTCAAAGTTAAGAGCCTTTGGCTCTTTCTCATCTGTATTACTTCTTGCCTTGGCTAGAGCTGAGTAAAACTAATTGTGGCAGCCAAGCTGCTGTTAAAATGTGATTTTAGTATGTAGGGAGACAGTTTGCAGTCTACCTATGTGGGCTCGTTTTCTACTACAGTAATTGCCAGTCAGAAGGGGACCATGGCAAGAATTTTGCTCTCTAAATGCCAGCTAGTATTAATTGAACATCTGTGTGTCAGTTCCTGTGCTAACAGCTATGGCTTCTCTCTTTCTAAAGAAACTGGGAGAACAAGGGAGGATCCAAGAATTTTCTTCTTGATTATATTTGGCAAATGTGGGCTTTTAGCTTGATTTCTTCCTTTGAATATTGTTGAAGTTGTCATTCTGCATCCTAGGCAAGTAAGATGGAAAATATGTACAGCCTGACGGATGTGTGCAACTTACTGCCTTGCCCTCAAGTTCTCTTGATTGCCAGACCTAAATAGACAAAGAGCTGAGGGAGTCCCTCTCAGTTTGGAATTGCAGTACTCTCCTTGAAATTCTGCCTGGACCCAGTACCTACAGGCTTTTTACTTCCACCTCCTCCTCTATCACTCCTCTCCTGTGTAGATAACAAAATGCAACCCTGCAGGGAGAAGAGTGAAGAAGAGAAGAGGATTTGACACAGTTGTCCTCGCACAGCTTTAACAGGCTCTCAAGATGAATTTTTTTTTTCTTCTTTTTTACACCTGCAGCACCTCGTCTTCCTAGGTGATCTCCCATCCAGGTACTAACCAGGCCCAACCCTGTTTAGCTTCCAAAATCAGATGGGATTGGGCTTGTTCAGGGTGGCACAGCCGTAGACTCTCAGGATGAATTTTAGGAGCGAACTGGTCTCATTGCTGGGACAGTGTTAGTTCAGTGCTGTATCTTATGGATAGCAAACTCTTCAAAGTCAAAAGCTATTTCTAATTCTCTTCATAAAAGGACACATGCGGTGGGTACTTTTGAAGGTCTTTTGGATGATTCTGCCCATTCTTAGGTCATTATTGCTAGCCATAGTAGGGCAGGATCTTGCCAATTTCCTTGGATAGAACCAAGATGGATCTTGGCTTAAAAAGGCAAAAAACAGTGTGAAGACTGTTGATCCAAGAGAGATGACATTACTTGGGCATCTGGCCTTGCCCCCACCCAGCCTCAAGGGCATAGAGCCTTGGCACTTGGAGGTGAACCCTGCACGCTTTCTCTTCCAGATGGGGGACCGTGGGAGAGTGCAGATTGCAGGCTCGGTTTTTTCTGCATGTGTAGAATTTGAGCTATTATTTGAAACTCCCTGTTCCTTATTAAATGGCTGACCTAATTTTTCCCCTTTATCTCTGTAGTGGTGGAGATCCAAGAAGGGAAGACAACTATAGTAAGTATCATCGAGTTGGCCACTTACAACCTCTTTAACACTTGGAGCTGCCTGACCGTTCCTTTGAGGGAGGAAGGGAGGCCCAAACGGGACTCTAAGCTCCAAGATTAGCTCCCTCTGTGACCATAAATCTCACAGTCTACTATTTTTTAAGCTGTGTGCTGTAGTGTAGTTAACCAGGAACAGTCACTTGTACCTGGATTGAGGCATCCGTTATTTGATTAAAGTGGCCTTTGTATGACAAGATCTAAGAGGTGTTTGCTATGTTCTTTGGACGGTGATAAATTAGTTTTCCAACGGGGAAACTAAGGCAATGGCAAGACTAGAGAGCCAGAGTAAGTTGACCCAGGGCCAGGAGCCTGGATCTCAGCTCCTTTCCTTTCTGTCCAGAATGACTAAGCTACTCCTTAAGTGATGCAGTTAGAAGGTGACACTCTCTGGGACCTGGGCTCACTAGCACCCTAGCTTGTCTGCTGGTAATAAAGCTAAAACAATTCTTTATCCACCGACTCCCCCCTTTCCCTCATTTGGCCCATCTCGCCTCCCTTCCTCCGGGAGTCATGGGGCCTAGATTATCCTATAATCCCTAAAAGACAACGTTGTTTTCACATGGCCTTCCATGCCTCCAATAAATCCTCAGCCACTCCACAGAGCTCCCAGAAGCCTCTGTAACTTCCATGTCAACCAGGGATTTAACCCTTCTGGCAGCCAGCCATGCTCGGTCCTCCCCCAGACAGTCTTATCCCCAGGACAAGCCCTTTGGGTTCTTTGGGTCTTCCTCAGAACATTCTCTCAGCTTTTGCACTGCTTAGCCTCAAAACAGTTCTTTTGAGGGGACTCCCATCTCCTTAGCACACCTTGTTTATCCCCTTATTCAGAGCTGAAACAAGCATTCACCCTGTGAACTCCATGCTGGTGGAGAGAAAACACATCTGGTTTTTGAGTGTGAAGACTTTTTCATGTGGGGCATGAATTTGCTATTTGTAGAATGAACATGGAGACCCTGTACAAGGAGAGCCTTGGGGGAGGGAACCCATCCATTCCTGGAGAGGCACTCCCATGGCTGACTGGGTATTGCTCACTCTGGGGTCTCACTTTCTTCATCTATAATATAAAATCGTGGTTCCTCCCTCAGTAGGTTCTGGGCGTTAAACAAGATATGTGTGAATCATGATTGGCACAGAGCCAGGCATGCAATTGGGAGTCAGTAAATGTTAGGTCTGTCTCCACGGGCCCCCTTTAATCCCCTCCCGAGGCCTACCACTCACCTACACATTTTCCCTTACACACATCTCCATTTCTGGCATAATTGTGGTGGCCTTGGCAGAAAGGTAGCAGTGCCCTACATAATCAAGCAATGCTTCCAGCCTCCTTTCCCTTTTGCCAGTTCTTCCCCAGGAGACAGTGTTGCTTCCCTCCCAAAGCCTCTCAGACCTGTCCCATCCTTACTCATAATCCATGGCCTCAGTCAGCAAGGCTTTCTAAACTCCCCCTTTTGAAATTGGAGCTGACTCCAAATCTTTGGTCTGTTACGCTTAGTAATTCCAAGGCTATGTCACAGGATACAGCAGCCACGAAGGTCATTTCGCACGTGGCCTCAGCACAGTTGGAAAGGTGGCATCCAAGATAATAAAAGCAAGGAGAATAGGAGAATGTTCCTCCCAACTGTGTTTTAAAAAAGAGAAGAAGCAAGAGTGCACACGGTTATCTGTTTGTATAGGCAGAGACCAGGCTTCTCACATTGGCACCATTGGTATCCTAGGCTGGCTAATTTTTTGTGGGGGCTGGCCTGTGCATTGTAGGATAATTAGCAACGTCTTTGCTAGATTCCAGTTGCACCCATCCCCCAGTTGTGACAAACAAAAATGTCTCAGTTGTTGTCCAGGCTCCCCTGGGTGGCAAAATCATGGCAGGCTGAGAACCACTGGCATAGACTTACCTTTGTAAGATAAAGCTGGAAACTTAGTTTCCTCTGAGAACGATATGTAGGGTGAGAGGGAGACTTCCTTTAGACTCTGAATCCCTGCGCAGTTTGAAACTTTCTACCACGTGCATTTATTACTTTTTCCCAAAGGTTTTTGGTTGTTTAAGGAACAAAAGTTAGCGTTCAGCTGATAACAGCAAACCCCTCCCTCTTGCATTAAGTTCAGTTTCTACTACCCTTGAAAGCCACCAAGTCACTTCTCTTTGGTCATCCTAAGGCCCAGTACACAGCAGCTGCAGAACCACCACCATAGTTCCAGCAGAGAGACTTATTAGATCCTCCCACAGGACCCTGACAGATGAACTTACACCAGCATTCCCAGCATTTTGGGGGTTGCTCAAGGATCAGAGGCTCCACACGGCCCTCTGCCTCACTGGCTCTCTTTCTCTGCCTCCCTGGCTCTCTTTCTCTGCCTCCTAGATCGAAGGCCGTATCACAGGTACTCCCCAGGAAAGTCCAAATCCCCCTAACCCTTCTGGCCAGTGCCCCATCTGCCGGTGGAACCTGAAGCACAAATATGGCTATGAGGTGAGTTGGTACACAAAGACACTGGGCTCTACACGTCACGGAGGTCATAGTCTCTGGTTAACTAAAGCAGCATCCCCCCAACACGCTCTCCTCACCACCCCTCACCTGCCCCGTAGCCAGTGCTGCATCTCATGGAGCCACCAAAGACAAGCATTTTGTCCAGTGGCTCTCACCCCTGGCAGCGCATTAGAATCATAGGGGAGCTTTAAAAAAATGCTCAGGCTCCACCCCCAGACATTGATTCGCTTGGTCTGGGGTAAAGCCTGGCCATCATTTTTAAAAGCTCCCCAAGTGATTCTTGTGTGCAGCCAGGGTTGAGAGTGTCTTAGTTCATGGGCTGGTTGCTTGGGATTGAGACCATCAGGGCCCAGTCTTGAGGGGTTGTGTTCCCAAAAGAATGGGATCAGGATCTAAGTTTGGGTTTTGTTATTTCATAATAGACTCTTTTATAAGAGTCTGTTTGGAGAGTCCTTACTGTGACCTATGGACACATTATTGTTTCTTTCCATATTGGAGATCCTGGTTTGCTCCAGCTCTTTTAGCTCATCATCTGTTTCCACAGAAGGATGATGACAATGAATAACAATAGGTACCCTGTGTTGAGTGCATTCTCTGTGTCAGGCATTGTTGTAAGCACTTACATGCCTTCATTTGCTTAGCTTTCATAATATCCCTATGAAGTAGGTACTTTTTTCATCCTTGTTTTACAGAGGAGGAAATTTGAGGCATGGAGCTGGAATAAAAACTCTGGGTATACAGCCAGCCTGCGGTCCCAGCTACTACTCTGCATCCTCTCTAGAAATGGGGAGGGACTGGGAGAACGGACACAGTCTTGGAGAAATCCATACTTGTCCTTCAGAGTTCTATTGGTGACATTAAGCACCCTATTTTTAGGTTTCAGGTGATTCAGGCCCTGGGCCAGTTTGACCTGCAGCTTGTCCCTATGCCCCTCTATGGAATGGGATGACTAAGGGCAGAGATCCCGGTCAGGTGGTAAGAACAGGAGAGGCCACATGCCCATGGGATCTGAACAGAATGATCCAACTAATCTCCAAGACTGGGAGCCTTGGCCTCAGGCCACCCTGAGGTGGGGAGAGGGGGTGTTCTTTCACTGCCCCAGGCCCTTCTGCTGATTGCAGCTTGGAGTAATAGGAAGCTTGCAGGCCGCAGGGCAGTATTCAGAGCTTCTTGTTACATGGAAGTTAGTGGAGTTGTGGCCATACTTGGAATCCCAACTTAAGATGGGAAGGTGAACCCCACACCTGCCTGACCACCATGGGGCATTCTTCCTACCAGCCGTTTCCAGGAAATAGACTTGGCTCTGTTTATCCAGCAGAAGAAATCCGATCTCCTCCAAGGTAAAGGCTTGTTTTGCTTTTACCCCTTTCCATTCAGGACACCATTAGCCCGAGCTGCACAAGCTGTCAGCTTGCTTAGCAGTCTGCAGTGAAGGAGACTGGGGCTGTGAGCCCAGTTTATTAGCCCTGGATAATCCAATCCAAGTTCTTTTCATCAGATTCTGAAGATTACAGGGGTGGGAATTGGGGGGTCTGGGTCCCTCAGGAGCTGTCCAGTGATTAAAACAAATCTGCGGTTATACAGTGAGGCGCCTGCCAGGGCAGCAAGTCAGTTTGTGGACATGACTGCTAAGACTGGCATGCCAGGCCCCTCAGGGGTGGGCGGAATGGGAGATGGTGGCTTTTATTTAACTCCCTCAGCCATCCTGTGAGAGTTAGAAGAAACGATCTCTTGTCTTTTTTTTTTTTTTTTTTTATGGTCTCTTGTCTTGATTCTGGCTCTGTTTATCCTTGTTTCCTTGTCTTGTCCAAAGCTGTCTGATGGTCAAAAGGAAGCCTGAGAATCCATTCACATCTGGTTCACAGGGGGCTTAGAAGATATAGGATTTAATTTCACAGCCCTGATCCCTTCCTCCTCAGCTTGTATTCTGCCTAGCACTTCAGAGAGAGCAGCAGAAGGTGGAGGGGCTGTCTGCATGTATTCTGGCCTGTGGCCCATAGGCCGTGGTGGCGGAAATGGTATAGAATTTTCCTCTTGTGTGAAAATATATGGCATACCCCCTACTTCACCCTAAGAGAATAACAGACCCATCATCACCAGGAAAGATTAAAGAGCAATTTTTCATGCAGGTGCATAAAAAATTGTTAACACTTTTTCAGGAGTTTCTAACCTAGTCTGTCAAAAAATTATTTCTTGGAGGAACTAGAAGCTCTTGGGGTGGTAATGGGGTCAGAAAATCTTACTAAGTTGAGATTTAACTTTTGTTAGGGTAAAGGTAGCAGACCAATGTGCAAAGCTGTGTGTGGAGGGAGTGGTCTCAGGTCAGTTCCGAGGGAAACATCAACGTCTTGGAGTGCCAGGGTATACGATAGCCTCCCCTGTAGATCATGTGGCCTGGCTCCCCAGCATCAAACACCCACCCAGCTGACTGACCCTCATCTCCCGTTTTCCGGTTCCGCTAGGATGTTCTGCTGCTGAGTCAGTTCATCCGGCCTCATGGAGGCATGCTGCCCAGGAGGATCACAGGCCTGTGCCAAGAAGAGCACCGCAAGATTGAGGAGTGTGTGAAGATGGCCCACCGAGCAGGTAGAGGTTCCCCTTGGGGCTAAGAGGGACACAGGGCTTTAGGTACCATCCTCCCCTCTGTTTCCCCACCAGCTGCCCCATATTGTAGCCCTTCCTGGAAGAAAAATGCACATCCAGAGTCTTCGTTATACTCTCCCAACACCAACCTTCTACCCCCTTGGGCATTCCCTATGGCCCCCAAGAGCTGCAAAGGGAGCTTTGGAGACCATCGCCTTATATGCTCTTCCCTCCCTCCACTCAGGTCTGTTGCCAAATCACAGGCCTCGGCTTCCTGAAGGATTTGTTCCGAAGAGCAAACCCCAGCTAAATCGGTGAGCAAACTCGGGTGTCCACACCCTGAGCATTTTGCAAGACCTCATTCTCGCTGCATTTTCAGGGAAGGCCATATACTGGGGCTCATCCCACAGCCTAGCAAGGCTGGAGTGCTCCTTGACTGTCTGTTCTGTCTTGTGTAGCTTGAGCACCCACCCCCACTAGTCCCACTGCTGCTGCAGCTGATGTTGCATGGGCTTCTGTCACCCGCCCCTGCAGCTTCAGCCTCTGCCTCTCTCCTCTTCCTTCTCCAGTAGGGCACTTAGCACAGGGGCAAGGAGGGTAAGAAGGTCTGCTGGTTGGGCATTAGAATGTGCTAATCCCCTGTTTATGACATCATACAGGGTTGCTATGGGAATATCAGAGCACTTCTACAAACTTTTAGTATCCCAGCACTGGGGTTATTAAAGGGCAAAATGAGGTCTTAAAAGTAGGAGGGCTCTCTGGGGCAGGGCCACCATATATAGCTGTGCAAGTCGTATACTGCAAAACTTCAAGACAGTTATCCATGTAGATTAGATTGTGCAGGTTGCTCCCTAGAGTTACGCAGTTAAGAATCTGCACAGCTGCACATGGTGACCCAGGAGGTCCTAAGGTTTTATAGAAGAGAGGAAGGCCCCTAGATCCTGGAATAAATCAGTCTGCCTTTCAGCCTAAGCAGGGTGGCCCCCTCTAGTGTAAGAGCAGATTCCTAACACTCAGTCATTCTGTTGTACGTTCCTTTCCCTCCACCATCCCTGTTCAGCTGCCACTGGAACTGCTCTCTGTATGGGGCCAAAAATGGTTGAAGCAAAGCAAGACTTAACCAGCACCACCCCATCCCCCCAAGCAGACCTCCTAGTCAGATCCCCAGCAGAACCCAGGCATGAGGGTGGGAGGCCAGGCAGATACCAGCCACAGATTGCTGGGCTTGGGGTGCAAGGCCAGAGCTGGGTCTTCATTGACGCCTCGCCAGCACCCTGGCCCCATGCCCATCTCCACCTGCACTTCCTATGTTGCTAGCTGGGCCATTTGCCAGCAGCCCTGGGGGAGCAGGACCTATTAACCTCTTCCTGTCTTCCCCAAATATGCTATGGGCCATTTGGGGATTGAGCTTACTCCCACCCCCCACCTTGTTAAGAGAGGGCAGCAGGCCTAAGGACACAATCCATCCTGCCCTCAGGCCTTTGAAGTAAGGCCAGGCTCCCTCCCATATATCCGGTGTCCTTTAACGTGACACGGGATTGATGATGTGTGGGGGCTCTTGGGTTGCAAAAGGCCACCCCAGGGGGGAGGGGGAGGCCTAGCTACAAGGGAGGTTGATTCCCTTGCAAGGAATTTTATGATTCTATCCAGAGGTCCTTGAGCTGCCACACACTGACCCAGGTTCTACTGGGGCCCGAGGGGAGCCACACTTCCTCCTCCTTCTGTCCCTTCAGGAGAGGTAGGAAGGAGCCTTGGTTCTTTCTAGAGCTGGACTCTTCCCAGAGCTGACTGGAGGCCAGCCACCCAGGTCCCCCTTTCCCCCACCAGCTGCTCCTTGTGGCACAGGCATTAGGCCCAGGGCTAGCTAAAGCCCAGCTTCCTTGGGTCCCTGCAGGGCAGAGAGAAAGAACAGCTTTAGGGCAGCAGCTCTGAAGATCCTGGTCAGCCTCAAGACATTCTGGGGTCTGGGAATCCCAGTGAGCACGACTTTCACAGACCCTGCTCGCACACCCCACCTCTTCACCCACCCCCTCTGGAGACTGGGAGACAGATGCCAGCACAGGGGCTTGCCAGGTGTTCCTTCCCTTACCCTTTACTCTTCCGCTGTCCCAGCACCACCAACCATAAAAAAAGCCATTCCTGGGGCCAGCCCCACTCCTCAGAGGTCTCCCTGTTGGGGCATTGACATTGACAGTAGATGTAGAGAAGCACTCCCCTGTCTGCCCACCTCACACTAGGAGTGCAGGCCAGCACCTCCCACAGCTTTTTATACTCTTTTAAGAATTGTTCCCTTTGTGCAGAGCTGAGAGCAGAAGACCAAGGTCCAGAGGAGCTTAGTTGAAATGTATAAGTTGGCAATCATTTTTTAACTTTTATCTAAAAATTTTCATCCAAGGGTAATTATTTGGGGGGGGGGGGAAATAATTTTTTTAATTAAAAATCTCTCATTTGAGAGTTTCTAAAGGTGGCGAGTTGAAGTCTCAACTTAGATTAGAGGCAGAAGAGGATCCTGGCCTTCGAGCATGGCTGAGCTTTCAGGATGAAGGGTGGGCCTCTCCAAGTTTCATTCTGAATGGAGTAAACCCCAGTCTCAGCCGGCATGAGCCACTTTTCCAGGAACTATCAGTGCCCCGGCCATCCCCAAAGGAGGCCAAAGGACTATGGGCGGCAGCCATCTTTCTCCACCCCCCTCCTACTTACAGGAACCTTCCTGGACTTGGTCTGCCCCCACGGGCCTTCACCCTTGGCTCCCATCACAGGTTGGGTGAGGGGCAGGGGTCCTAACACCAGTTATGGCTGCCCAGGGGAGTTCCCTGAAGGCTGGGGTGACAGAATGAGCCAAGTAGGGAAGAAGGAAGGATTCCTTCAGGCCCTTACATCAGCCTCTCTCCCCCTGGCTGAGGCCAGGGAGGAATGATCTGCTCTCTGAGCAGCCTCTTTCTCTGCCTCTTCCCCCAGGAAATACACACAAACACTGATAACTCATAAAGATCAAGGGAGCACATGGCCCTAGGCTGCCTGACGCTGGCCACACACACACTTGCAGCAAGAGCCCAGCCCATCTGTTTATAGCAGACTCAGCAGTTGCTCCTAGGAAAAGTCTCTGATCCTCAAGTGAAAGGGTTTGGTTGGACAACCACAGCTTTCACCCAAGGAGGCAGTGCCCACTCTCCCAGATCCAGCACAGGCCCCAGCCCTCATAGCCATCTCCTGGTCCTCCTTCCACAGGTACCTGACCCGCTGGTCCCCTCGCTCTGTCAAGCCCATCTACAATAAAGGCCACCGCTGGAACAAGGTGCGCATGGCTGTGGGATCACCCCTCCTGAAAGACAACATCTCCTACTCAAGAAGGCCTTTGGTGCTGTATCATTGACTGAGAGCAGGGCTTTCTGAGAGCCTGGCCAGAACTCTTCCTGTACTCCTGCCCCATCCCTACCAGGGTGGCCCGGCTCCTGCAACGTGAACAGCATGAGGGTCAGTGGGACCTCCTTCAGTGCCCTCGGCCTGTCAGCAAGGGCAAACAAAACAGGTCCCTTGGCAGGTGCCGTGGTCTCATGACTGGCTGGGTCTGTGCTCAGTGCTGGGGGACAGGGGTTTTGCCCAAAGGAATGTCATAAACCAGGCTCACGTCTCACCCACTGGGTGCATATTCCCTGCTTGGCAAGTGTGGGGAGCTTGGGCTCATTTTCAGCCAGTTACCGAACTTTGAGTCATTGATCTCTATGATGGGCCACATGAATGCAACTTGAGGGAGGGAGTTCATGGGCCAAACAGGTTCCCATCCTCTTTTTTGACAGCTCTTTGTCTTGGGCCTGGGAGGCTGCGAGGAGGAGGGAAGTTGGGCTGCCTGGTCCATGTGCAGCTCTCATCTGAGTCCAAGAGCTGCCTTGCTCAAAGGGCTCCTGGCTGTCACCTCCCACAGCCATTTCCACCTGCCATTGTCTCCTTAGCACATTCCAGTCCTCTGCCACTTGGTTTAGAACTAGGTCTCCAGCTCCATAGGTCTCTCCTCAGAGCCTGGACACCAGATGGAGGTGGAGATGAGGGGAAGCATCAGGACAGAATAGACAGACAAATTCACTGAAATGTATGAAAATAATGTTTACACTCTGCATAAAAAGTTCCCAGGCTGGCCCCTCCTACAGCATGAAGGGCAAGTCTATATTCTTCTCACCAGTGCCCACGTAGATGTAGCCACAGTTCTTGGTGCGGGGAGCGTGGTAAAAGGTGAGGCCTGGCCAGAGGAGACTGCGCAGCACCACCAGAGCGTTGCCCCTCTCCATCTGGATGCTCCAAGATCCTGGGGAAAAGGCGAGGCCTGAGCTCTGTGGAGCCAGAGTTTTGTGCATATGCAGAGGCCCCAGCTCCTTGGGCTGCCAGGCCCTGGTGCTAAGGTTCTACTGGGAGAAGGGAAGATGATTTAATTATCCTGGGGTTTTACTCCCCCTGATTGCCTTTTAGCCATTTCACTGTTCATTAAAACCACTTCCAGGGAGAGGGCAAAGGAAATGAAGAGGTGAAACTCAAACCAGTGCATTTTGTTCCTGTCAGCAAGTCTAGTTAAAGGTTGAGTGGGGGAGGAAGCTGAATCCACAAGCAGAGAGGAGTTGGGGCTTTCTCCAGGCTCCCTCTCACCCTGTACTCAGGACACTCCACCGGTGACGTTTAGTTCTAGTGCAGTTTGTCCCTACTTAACATTTTATTCTCTCTTCCGCAGTCCCATAAGCCTCTGCTCTGAGACGGATTAGACCCATCCAGGAGCTCACATAAAAAGTTTGGCGGGAGGGGACTTGGGCCACCGCTAATGAGCCTTTGTCTTTCCTGGGTCCTGCCCTGGTTTGAGCTCCCCAGACTGGAGCAGCCCAGCCTGAGGCTGAGTTGTGCAGCTATGAGGACTTGGCTAGAAGGGCCTGATCCATCTCCAGAACAGGGAGGGAGCCGCTGTGTGGGAGGAAGGAGCCTGGGAAAATCGCCTCTGGATGCAGATCTGGAGCTTCTATTCCCCTGCGCACCAAGGCCCCTCCCCAGCCTAGCCACAGCTCTGCTCTGGGCCATGCCAGAAAGGCAAATGCTTTGAAGGTTTTGGTGTTGGACCAGCCAGTGATGCGCTGAGAGCTGCTCTGAGGCCTTCATCGGCTGCCAGCTCAGCCTGGCTGCTTGGCTCCTGCTGCCCCAGCTTCCCACAGGCCTCCTCCAACCATGGCCCACCCTGGTCACTCCACACCCAACAGCCACACAGCTCAGCCCCCACCCACTGGGGCCCACCCTGCATCTAAGAGACCTAACCACCAGGAACCCCTGGCCTTGGGTGTCGTCACCTGCCCAGATCAAATCCAAAGCTTTCTGGGTGCATGTAGGTCAGCTGGCCCTGGCCTGCTTACGGAGAGCCTGGCTCAGAGCCAACTGCAGCACTGTGCAGTAGTCTGCACCAAGTGCTACTACCCATGTATGAGGTGATGAAGTAGAAGCCACAGCATAGGCTTCCTTAGGCCCACATAGTGCTGGCAGACAGTATCAAGAATGTCCCTGGGTTGTCAGCTCTGGCTGCGGTACTTCCTAGGAAGGGGGCTGGTGGGGTAAGGGGGATTTCCTGGTCAGAGAAGGGAGTATTTCCCCCTGGTTCCTACAATTTTCCTCTGAAGGACTTGAAGTCTCCCACCTCTCAGACCTGCCTTCAGAGTCCTAAATCCCTAGCCTGTTGCTTTCCTAGTCACTCATTCCAAAAAGCAGATTGCCTAGGGGTAATGGGAGTGGGGTGTGACAGAACAAAGTGTTCCCAGTGCACTGCTTTCAGCCTTTGGCCAGAAGCACAGGCCTCAGGAAGGTACATCCTCTAGCTCCCCTTAGGTATACCCCCGACCCCACCCCAGTGCCCAGAACATCATCTGGGGACAGTCCCTCCCTGCCCTTGGAGCACATAGTCACATAGCCCCCTTGAACTGAAAGGTCAGACTGCCTCACTCCTCTGCCACTCCAGGAAGGGCAGTTTGCAGCCTCCCTGGGCCAAATGCTGCCCTGGAGAAATGGAATCTTGGAGTCCCTAACCTATACCAATCATCAATTCACAGTCACCAGCACCTCGGCACTCTGGGCAAGGGCTGAGTCCCAACCTTCCCTTGCACCAGCCTGCCCACCTAGAGTTTAGCCACCTCTTTGCTCCAGTAGATGAGGGGGCCCAAGGTTAGCAGGGTTACTAGAGAAATAGAGAGCGCCCACTGGGGCAAGGGACAGCACCAAGCAGCAGAAGGGGGCTGGCAGAGTGTAGAAACAGCATGTGAGGGGCCAGCCAGCTAACAACACTGCCTCCCTCCCTTGCATTCCTGTCACACTCCTGTCCTCTCCTTTTTCCTGGCTCAGCTGGTTGCCCAGGAAACACACAGACTCTAAACGTGCCGGGAGTCACGTAGTGTCTACCTGGGAAGCCAGGCAGTTGCTGTCACCTTCACCTACTTTTCTTATTGCAGCTGCTCTAAAGGTTGGGCCTAGCCAGCTCTCACCGCTTCTGCCTCTAAGATTCCAGGAGAAGCAGCCTCCTGCGGCCCTGGTGTCTCCCAAGTCTCCTCAAACCTCCCCCTCCTGCCCCCTGGCAGCCCCTCTTCTACAGACTATTTCTGAGGCTGCGGTGGGGAACAAGCCAGTAATTAGGATCGCTTGAAATCAGTGGGATGTCCTCACCTTAGTGTGGAAACCTCTGGCTAGGGTATGCTCCTCAATTATATTCCTTCCAGTAAGAAAGGCAGCAAAGCTCTGAGAGTAAGTTTGAGGTGGAGAGTGGACCAGGCTGGGGATCAAGGCTATCCAGGGGCAGCAGATGCCTTAAACTCAGACCAGCACTGCACAACTTGTGACACAATGAGAAATGACTAGGTCCCTCCTCAAAGCAGCCACTGTGGCCACACCAGGGCCACAAAGTATGGTCAACTGCCCTAGAGGTGGGGGGCGGGGGAGTAATGTAATGGGGTACAGAGGTGGAAGAGTACCCTCTGTAACTGACGGGCAAGGTCAGTCCCCCTGGTCCAGAATGCC